CTGAGCTTAGATCATTCCACCTCCTCAGCCTGTATTATCTTCACCACACTTAGGAATCAGTCTGCAAAATTTGTTCTAAAATATGAACTGGTGCTTTTGTCCACTAGCTAACTTGAAGATTTGAACTTAGTTTTGTGAATTTTTCAAATGAAGGGCGAAGAATATGAAAGTCGATTATATGTCCTGTATTTTCCCCCCTGGGTTTTTTCTAATTTTGCTCTTGTATACTCTTTCTAAAGGTTCAACGTCTTCCATTTCTTTCAAGCACAAATGTTTCACAGAATATTTTGAAGAGTAATGATAAGACGATTGGATTTGAAGATATTCTTATTGGTGTCATTCACCTCCCTTGTATGGAGCCCCTATAATACACAAGACAGCAGTAAACAGGACAGACAAATTCTCATTCTCACAGAACTTGGGTTCACCTGTGTACATTCACTGTAGTAAGACAAAATGTAATGGTAGTGACTGTTCTTTAACTGTTTTTAGATGAACTTCTAAGGGTATGGTGGTTTCAGTCCAGTTAGCAGTAGTCCTTCACTTCATGTTCTGGGCAATAAGTCTAATGCAGTACTCTTAGGGAGAGTTAAAGAGTGATAGCTGGTTCTGTATTCACAGCGTTTGTGAGATTTGACTAGTATAGCTTTTATATGTTCCAATGTAACAGGATAGAGATTCCAGAAGCAAAACCTCAATTTCTCAACCAACTCATCTTCAACAAAGCCTCCTCCACCAACAACTGGGGAGAGGAGAACCTATTCAGTAAATGGTGCTGGGAAAACTGACCACATGCAGAAGTTTAAAACAAGATCCCTACATATCACCATACACAAAAATCAACTCCAAATGGATCAAAGACCTAAATGTAAAATCTCAAACTATAGGAACCTTAGAAAGTGCAGGAGACACCCTTATGGAAATTGGAACTGGTAACCAATTCCTGATCAAAACCCCCAAGTGCCCATGCCATAAGAGACAAGATAGACAAGTGGGACCTCATCAAACCGACAAGCTTCTGCAAAGCCAGAGAAACCATCAAGAGAGCGGGGAGACAGCCCACAGACTGGGAAAAAGTATTTGCCAACTCCATGTCTAACAAAGGCCTAACATCTAGGATTTACAAGGATCTCAAACATGCTGAAAGGAAAAAAACAAACAACCCCATTACAAAGTGGGCAAAAGATATGAATAGATGCTTCTCAAAAGAAGACATATGAGCAACCAATAGATACATGAAAATGCTTAGCCTCACTAGTCATCAAAGAAATGCAAATTAAAGCTACAATGAGATACCATCTAATTCCAGTCAGGATGATTATCATCAATAACTCAAAAAACAACAGATGCTGGAGAGGATATGGTGAAAAGGGAACCCTTTTACACTGTTGGTGCGAGTGTAAATTAGTACAGCCTCTATGGAAAACAGTGTGGCAATTCCTAAAAGACCTAAAAATCGACCTTCCATATGACCCCACAATCCCTCTACTGGGAACATACCTGGAAGAATTCAAATCAGTCTATAAAAAAGATACCTGCACATGTATGTCTATCGCAGCATTGTTCACAGTAACAAGAACATGGAATCAGCCATGGTGCCCATCCAAAGAAGAATGGGTTAAAAAAAATAAAGGAATATTATGCAGCCATAAAGAAGAACAAAATCATGAACTTCACAGCAACCTGGATGAACTTAGAGTCTATAATACAGAGTGATCTTTCACAGAAACAAAGAACTGAGTATCACATGTTCTCACTCATACATGGACCTTGAACAATCGTAATACTATAAGAAAAGGATTGGCAGTAGTGGGAAACTGCCAGGAGGGGGTGGGGATGTTATGTTTTTGTTGGCAAATTAGTTTTGTTTTTGTTTTTGTTTTTGACTCGAGGTCTCCCTCTGTCTCCCAGACTGGAATGCAGTTGAATGCTTACAGCAACCACAGACTTGATCTTCTGGGCTTGGGTGATTCTTCTGCCTCAGCTTCTCAAGTAACTGGGACTACAGCTGTAGTCCCTGGCTAATTAAAAATTTTTTTTTCTAGAGACAAAGTCTCACTCTGTTGCCCAGGCTGGTCTCGAACTTCTGGGTTCAAGCAATCCTCCTGCCTCAGCCTCCCAAACTGCTGGATTACAGATATGAGCCGTCACTCCTGGTCTTGCTTCCAGGTCTCAGATTTATTTCTGGAGGCAGTAGACATGCGTCGTCAACTGCACTTTGCCTTGTTGCTTCTTTTCAATATCTTGACCTAATGGAGACAGGAAAAATCTATATTGTTCATCACTGTGACAGAACAGAGGCCATGTAGAAGATATGGCTTTGGGTCAGTGGAGAATCAGGTAGAATTCTGCAATTACTTGGCTTTAACTCAAGACTTCCACTATCTTTCTTTCTTTTTTTTTTAATTGAGCCGGAGTCTCACTCTGTTGCCCAGGTTGGCACGTTCACATCTCATGAAGACCTGCTGGGCCCAGGCGATCCTTCCACCTCAGCCTTCCAAGTAGCTGGAACTACAGGCATGCACCACCACGCCTGGCTTACTTTTTGATTTTTTTGTAGAAACGAGGTCTCGTCAAGTTGCCCAACCTAGCCTCGAATCCTGAACTCAGCGTGGGCAACATAGGGAGACCTCATCTCTAGTGACAATGCAGCCATTAGGAATCGCCTAGGATCTTATATCTTTCTATCAAAATAGGTTGCTTTAGATTAATGTAAGCTAAGTCAATTACGTAATAAAACTTGCAAGTGGCTGAGTGCAGGGTAAGCCATTTGAGACTGGTAAAGGTCTGTATTTGGGGGGGGGCGGGTAGTCATGAAAGAAAGCTTGGTCTTGTTAGGGACTGTATTTTTTATTCAGAATTATCAAATAAGATAGAGAACTCTATTACAGGGCGGTTTTTTAGTTAAGAGGGAAAGAATAACAATACAGATGCTCCTCCCCCCCCCCACAAAAAAGAAAAAGTGTGTGAAATAGAAAAACACCCCCTAGCCCAACCAACCACTGCCACCTCGCGGGGGGCGGGGGGACCGGCCCCGCCCCGGCCG